AGCTTCAAAAATAAACCCTAGTGTACACACGTATGAAAAAACACACTTAACATATGAATATATGTGAGAATAATGCCGAAGATAGCTAAATAAATATATTTCTTATCAAATTGAGTTATTGAGACTTAATTTCCTCTTCAGCATAACAAAATAAATTTCACAGGTCTCCTAGCCTGTGAATTCGAGAGTCTTAATAAATAAAATGCGCTTTTATTAAGACTCTCGAATTCACAAGCCAATAAACGTAAATTTACACTTTTTAATACATATGTCTGCCCAAAACATATATTCAATAAATATGACGTTTAATTAATATAAAATAATGGATTATATAAAAATACATTAATTATTTTGAAGTTATTTATATAGTCTGTGTGCATGGAGCAGTGGCTCTGAATGCAAAATTGGAGACTCGAATTCAAGTTCTGTTCCTTGTATTCATATGCGTTAATGCCGTTAGGGAAGGTAAAAAAAAATCTCTTTCCCACAAGGTATTTTTTTTCCTGAGAAGATAATCAATTCTATGAGTTCGATTTGATAACCATAAAGGAAACATCAAAGTCAACAGCATCAATTATCAGTGCATCTTCACATTTCATTCAAACGGACCAGAAAAATGATAACATCAAATGCGTGCTTTTAGCGTGGTCATTATAATATAGAACGGCGAAAGTACGGGGTTAAAATACATTTATAAATAAATTTCGCATAATATATCGGATTAAACAGGAATTTAAGCATTAAACATTAAGGATTAAACAGGAATTTAAGCATTAAACGTTAAGGATTGAAGCATGAAAAACAAAGAAAAGAGTACTGAACTGTTATGTAATATCAGTCCTCCTATATAGCAATGAATGCTGGGCAATCTCCTCACAGATGAAGAAGAGACTTGAAGCAAGAGAAACAAAGAAAAGAGTACTGAACTGTTATGTAATATCAGTCCTCCTATATGGCAGTGAATGCTGGACAATCTCCTCACAGATGAAGAAGAGACTTGGAGCAAAAGAAACAAAGAAAAGAGTACTGAACTTTTATGTAATATCAGTCCTCCTATATGGCAGTGAATGCTGGACAATCTCCTCACAGATGAAGAAGAGACTTGAAGCAAGAGAAACAAAGAAAAGAGTACTGAACTGATATGTAATATAAGTCTTATATAACAGTAAAGGCTGGCCAATCTCTTCAAAGATGAAGAAGAGACTTGAAGACAAATGAAACAAAGAAAAGATTACTGAACTGTTATATCTTTATCAGTCCTCCTATATGGCAGTGAATGCTGGACAATCTCCTCACAGAGGAAGAAGGGACTTGAAGCAACAGAAACAAAGAATGAATACTAAACTGTTATGTAATATTAGTCCTCATATATGGCAGTTAATACTGGATAATCTCCCCACAAATGACGAAGAGACTTGAAGCAACAGAATTTTAGGTCTACAGAAGGATGCTGAGAATTCCATGGACACAACCCGTGAACAACGAAAAAAATTACTTGATATTAATATCGGATTTAGAGAGCACATGTTAATAGCTTTCAAAACAAACAGTAAATGTTTTTTATTACCAAGACTAAATGCAAGAATAATAACCATAAACGCTGGGTAAACACTCATAGTTCAAGAGGTTTGATCAAAAAGCCTGTTAACACCGCCAAAATACGCAGATTGAAACCGCTTCACACAGATTGACCTTGAAGTTAGAACGCTTTCGTTCACTTCCGTTCTTTATAGCAATGCTCGGAATGATAGTATATAAAGTGTGGTCGTATCTTAACACCACAGAGTTTCCACAAGTGACCATGACTTATGAAGCAGTTTTTTCTTTTTTACAATATTCGCCAGGTTCGACAACGACCATATCCTCCAAATATCGGCCCTTGCAAATTTTTCCCCTTCAAAAATGAAATCCTACTTAAAAGGAAAAAGATTTCAAGACGTCAATGCAGTCAAAGAGAATGGTACGAGGCAGCTGATCGCTATCCCCCAAAAAGAAGTTCCAGGAATGCTGACATCAATGAAACAAACGAAGTGTTGGCTTCAGAAGACGACTATTTCGAAGGAGATTAAATGCCTAATTTTATGTGCTGTAGTTTTCTTTTTATATCTCCAGTACTGATACTCTTTGATCAGACCGCAAACATATTACAAAACGACATTAGATGAACTGAAAACAAAATTTCATTCTTCCCCCTAAAAAGATTACTTAAAGATCTTGGAAAACATGCAACATGCGTGTGTTAGGAATGGACAGGGAGATTTAGATAACTGAAGCTAACCTCTAAGAGAGCAAATGGCTGATGCTAACCTCTAAGAGATTAAATACCTGGTGCTAACCTCTAAGAGAACAGATAATTGAGGCTAACCACTAAGAGAGCATTCTTTCCCGTAAAAAATACCTTAAAGATTTTGGAAAAGATGAAACACTTGCATGTGTTAAGAATGGACAGGGAGGTTTAGATTATTGATGCTAACCCCTTGGAGAGCAAATGACTGATGGTAACCTCTAAAAGGTCAATTGGCTGATCCTAACCTCTAAGGGAGCATTCCTTCCCGTAAAAAATAACTAAAATAGCTTGGAAAACATGCCACACTTGCGTGTGTTAGAAATGGATAGGGAGGTTTAAATGGCTGATGCTAACCTCTAAGAGAGCAAATGGCTGATGCTAACCTCTAAGAGAGCAAATGGCTGATGCTAACCTCTAAGTGAGAAAATGGCTGATGCTAACCTCTAAGAGAACAAATGGCTGATGAGCAAAAATGGCTGATGCTAGCATCAAAGAGAAATGGCAATGCTAACCTGATGGTAAATGGCCTAGCATCAAAGAAGTGACCAAATGGCTGATGCTAACCTCTAAGAGAACAAATGGCTGATGCTAACCTACAAAATCTCACGTCTTCTTGACATGAATCAATTGATAGGTCTGCTGTGTCATCCCAGACAACATTTCTAGTAAGAATCCATATATTTCTAAATCTACCATTCGTACCAGCATTGAATATTTTGACCATATATGGTCCGGTGCATTAACTATATATCTCAAGATCCTTGACAAAATCCAAAGATGGGGTCTGTAATGTCATCGGTTCTAAGCTGACACATTGACTTGAGTCACTTTCCCACTGCAGTCAAGTGGCTTCCTTCTATCCTTTCTATGAATATTTTCATCACAATAGGCTTTCCTCCTTGGTACATCGACTTCTTGACTTTAAGCGTACTACTTGATTGGCAACTAGGTCTCATTGTTTTATTATTTAAACGTTGGGAAAATATTTATTAACCAATAAACTTATGAGTTTAGTAACATCTAAATTTTAGATTTCTGGAGCATATATTTTTATTATAAATATTGTGAAGTTAGTAAATTAGTTTTTCAGTCAACCTTTGACCAGAGTCGTTCCTTGTTATACAAGCGGAAATTACCCTAATTAATTACTAACATTTATTTATTCGAATATACTATATTACAAAAAAATGTTTTAGCGATATTGACGCATAAAACATACGAACTGAGTTTCTTTACAAACGTAAGCAGTAGTATTAACACAGCTTGCTGCCTATTCGCTGCCGATTTCTAGAAAATAACACGCATACATAAAACTATATAAATACGTGACACACTCATTCTCATATGGAGATGCGTGTTGAATATTGTTTATTTCTTCCTTTATCCACGCATAATTCTCTACCGATGTGTTAACGATTGTTGCTAAAAGAGTCTATCAAGCTATAGATAAGAATGATGAAGCTCGGGCTGTTGTTTTGAACACATCTCGAAGGCATTTGACAGAGTTTGGCATACTGGTTTTCTTCGCAAGTTGAAAGGTTATGGTATTTCTCGGTGAATTGTTGAACTGATTTGATCTTATCAATTCGCGAAATGAAAGTTGTCTTGAGTAGCCATCCTTCTAGATATTTTTTTTTGCATTAATGCAATTTAATTTTATCCTTTGACTTCTGTTGTCCCTAATTTTCATCAACGCCCCCACTAATTACCCCCAGTTCTCAATTCGGTATCTACGCTGATGATACAACTATTTAATCAAGACTACTTTGTTATTTAACCATAGCATGTGGAAAATGAATTGGTTAGGGATTTTCAAAGAGTTCTCGCGTGAACGTGAACGTGAACGTGACAGATTAAGGTGTAATTTGAACTCAGATCAGCGATAACACTGCCCACACATACCTAACTGTTTTTTTGAAAACATTAACTCAAGGAATAGCTGTTGTAAAAATAGATGTTGCAGGTTCTCTTTGCAATTTCATCATTTTTTTTTTTTTTTACTTCTTTTTCGTTTTTTTGTTACACTGCTGGACTGCAACGCAAGAAAAGAAATTGTAAACAGATACAGGAGCCCTATCAAAAACATCTTTCCTGTAGCTGAAAACGAAAACAGATTGTCTCTTCTCTCGTTCCTCTCACGGGGATTTAATTGCGCCATGAGACAGGATATATTTATTCGCACATGCGCAGTTGGCCGAAAAAATATACAAAATGTGCGTCATTTGTATTTGCTTACAAGCGGCCATATTTAGAATAATCCTAAATTGTGTAGACCCCCGAAATTGTACGGATAAAAGAAAGAAAGAAAGAACGGAAGGAAGGAATGTCAATGACTAAAGGGAGAAAGACCGATTGGAAAGAAAGAAAGAAAGAAAGAAAGAAAGAAAGAAAGAAAGAAAGAATCGATTGGCAGTCATGATAGTTACAGCAATAGATAGAAAGAAAGGTAGAAAACAACGTCAATGAATAAAGGGAGAAAGAGAGATTGGAAATAAAGAAGGCAAATCGAGATGAATAGAAAGAAAGAAAGAAAGAAAGAAAGAAAGAAAGAAAGAAAGAAAGAAAGAAAGAAACGTCAATGAATAAAGGGAGAAAGAGAGATTGAAAATAAAGAAGGCAAATCGAGATGAATAGAAAGAAAGAAAGAAAGAAAGAAAGAAAGAAAGAAAGAAAAATGAAAGAAAGAATCGATTGGCAGTCAAATGATGAATAGTTAGAAAGCAACAGAAAGAAAGAAAAGAAATTGGCAGTCATGAAAGAAAGAAAGAAAGAAAGAAAGAAAGAAAGAAAGAAAGAAAGAAAGAAAGAAAAGTTCAATGATTAAATGAGAAAAGAGACACTGGAAAACAAAAAGGCAACAATTGAAGCGAATAGAAAGGAAGAAAGACAGAAATCAAAATTAAAGAAAGAAAGAAAGAAAGAAAGAAAGAAAGAAAGAAAGATAACGGAAAGAAGAAAGGTAACAAGTCGAACAAAATAGAAAGAAAGAAAGAAAGAAAGAAAGAAAGATAACGGAAAGAAGAAAGGTAACAAGTCGAACCAAATAGAAAGAAAGAAAGAAAGAAAGAAAGAAAGAAAAAAGAAAAAAGTTCAATGATTAAATGAGAAAAGAGACGAACTGGAAAACAAAAAGGCAAAGGATTGAAGGAATAGAAAGGAAGAAAGACAGAAATCAAAATTAAAAAAAGAAAGAAAGGAAATAGAAAAGGTAAGAAAGAAAACAAAGAAAGCCGCAAAGACGAACATGAAATTGAAGAAAAAGCAACTTAAAACATCATCAATCCGACACCGTTCAACCCCGCCAAAGAAAGAAAGAAAGAAAACGAAAGAAAAATTTCTTTGATAACGGAAAAAAAGAAAGGTAACAAGTCGAACCAAATAATGGCTCCGAGTTATTACTGGGGAGAAAGAAAGAAAAGAAAGAAAGAAAGAAAGAAAGAAAGAAAAAAAGAAAGAAATAAAGAAATAGAGCTATTCAGCTTGTGGGAAATAGGCTGGGACGGTATAAAAAACTTTACAGGACTACGTCAACGACGAACCGAATAGGAAAATCAAGGAAGATTAAGGAAGGAAGAAGGAAGGAAGGAAGGTTATAGGAAGGAAGGAAAAACACCCATCGATAAAAAAAAAAAGATTTCAAATAAAAGCGGAAGGAAATAGTCTCGTTGGGAAAAGGTAAGAAGCTGATCAAACAGTCACTGTGTCTTCCCTGCCGGCTGTGCTGCCTTCCGCAACCTTAAACAATAATCTTTGCAATTTTATTTTTCCTTTACGATGGTCAAACGACGCTTGCTATTCCCGCCGCAACCAGACGAACATGAAATTGTCGTCTCTCCATCTCGCCGTAGAGAAAGCAACTTAAAACTGTTCATCATCAATCCGACACCGTTCAACCCCGCCAAATGCCGTAACCCAAATCAGCGTGAAATCCTGAAGACTCGACAAACGCATGAACGCCTCACTGACAAATTTCTTTGCGCGGGTTTTGCTTTTCACCCTCACGAGAGTCAAAAAAAAGAGGCTCTATTTCGGTAATGTTTGACAAGCAAGGCTTATATTAGGTTGTCCCATAACTTCTTCTATATTTAAGCAACGTCGAGCCTGAACAGTACCTGGATGGGTGACCGCTTGCGAATAGCAGGTGCTGTAAGCTTGGATGTGTGGGTGTTGTAGTCGATAATGGCTCCGAGTTATTACTTGAAGGGATACTAGTTCCCAACCTAAAACAAAATCAACTAGAATCACCGAAGTTAAATGTCTAACGTCAGGCCTGGTCCTTATTTCATTCCCAATACATGGGTGTGCGTTTTTCGCTTCTAATACCAGGTTCATCGTGCTGTCATCTTGGATGTGCGGTTGGTGTAATGATGAAGCATTAATAAAAATGAGACATGTTAGATTGATAAACGTTTCCTATTTCTTCTTTATCTTATTATATATCTTACTTATTATAAAACGCAGATTTTGTGTGTGTGTGTGTCTGTACGTTTATATATTGGATCGGATTTCCTATTTTTTGTTCTTAAACAAATTTTGTGGTGGGACTTTTTTTTCCATTTTTCAACCGATTTCAACAAAACTTTACAGGACTACGTAACATTACCTTGTGGTGGTTCTAACAGCGCCCAAAATTGGAAAAACACAAATGTTTTTGCACAAAATCAATTTGAAAACACGATTAAGGCATCGCTTTCATGGAATGAAAGGGGGACAACTCATATTGAGTTATACTTATTAATATCGAGTTATACTTATTATAAAACCCAGGTTGGTTGTTGTTGTGTGTGTGTGTGTGTGTGTGTGTGTGTGTGTGTGTGTGTGTGTGTGTGTGCAACAGCAAAAAAAGTTATTGCGTTTATATATGGCATCAAAGTTTTCCTCCACATTTTTCAACCGATTTCAACAAAACTTCACTTTTTTTTGGCGAGGTAGTGTTTCTTATTGTCTTGCACACTTTTTTCTTTATTTTTACATTCAGAATGCTTTAAAAATTCCATTTACAAGACAATTGTTTATAATAAAATTCTATCGGTAGACTCAACGGTTGAAAACAATGTTTTTGTTTGGGTTTGAAAAAAAAAAAATAAAACTAATTAAGACATGCGTATCCGTCAACCTTAAACAATAATCTTTGTCAATTTTATTTTTCAGTCTTTACGATGGTCAATACTTGATGTATCTCTTACTGTTACATACAACGTCAGGCTCTACTGCTAGTATATATATATATATATATATATATATATATATATATTCAGCATATGTGGGGGACCGAGCTGTGTGTGTGTGTGTGTGTGTGTGTGTGTGTGTGTGTGTGTGTGTGTCAATGTCTGGACCTATAAATATATAAAATAAAAATGAGACATGTTAGATTGATAAATGTTTCCCATTTGTTCTTTATCTTATTATATATATATATATTAAGTATAAGTAATTTTAAGTATGAAAGAATAGAAATATTAAATTACATCTAACTCCCTCGTTAGAACATGAATGGCTTCTCTCTCCCCTCACTTCTTCAGCTTCGTTAATTTACATATGCTTAACACGGCCCGTCAAAAATGTGTTCAAATTTCTTTTCATTTTTCATTTCAACTTTTGGAAGTAAAGTCTGATGATCCGCAGTCCTTTAAAAGGGCTGTGGTGAAATAATTTATTACATGGAACCTTAAAGTGGTCTGTTTTTATTTAAATTATTTGATCTGGATTTAGGACGATTGAGCTTTCTGGATTTTATCCTCCTTGGGTCTACCGAGGGTTACGGATTACTTCGGCAGTTTTCATAAACTATATATATATATATATATATATATATATATATATATATATATATATATATATGCAATGTAACACCAAGATTGTACAAATCGTGTAACAACATATGAGTATTTAGGCATGTCTGATTGAATAAATTATCGACATTATGTCTGCTAATTTTTAACAAAATCCGTTCATACTCACGAATAACCTTCCGTGTATTGATGTTAAAGGATGAGAGAAGTCTGCTATAACTGTTTAAATTTCTTTTATTTTAATTTCCCAAGTACTTTCGATCTTTTTCAAAGATCATCTTCAGGGGTGCAAATAGTACAAAACTATATGTTGTTCATTAGTACAAGTAGTACCATTAATACATTAGTACCAAATTGTCTATTACCGTCATTTTTTTCGTCATGCTTTTAAATGCAAAACTCTTGACAATGTGCTGAGCCTTCATTAGAACGTGAAAAAATTATCCATTAAGGAATTTTTCTATCTAAGTTATAATGTCATAGTCACGCGCACATTAAAGCATGAAAAAACTGTTCCTTTACAGGCATTTCAGAACATTATTATTGTATTCATAGCTGATTCTGTTCAGTGCCGGCTTTAATTTTTTAATATAAATTGCTTCTAGTATCTGTAATCTGAATTTGATGTTTTCTTAGTGTAGGATAGTAGTGTTGTAGATTATTAATTTTCTATATTGTGAATGTGGACAGAAATGTTGTAAATGTCTCGCAGTGGGCGAAAGGTCAGACATGTGTATTTGTTAGTGGCCCAATAATGGATAATTTTTAATCCTGTTCTCTTTCTAGCTGAATAACTAAAAGAGTTCTTCAGTGACTCTTACAAATGGTGTCAGGCGATGTCTAAAAGTCTTATCTGAAAAAACCGGAAAAAAGAAAAGAATGTTTTTTTTTATCTCGGATATAAACATTTTGTTCCAATGGAATACAGTGGTCTGCAGGATGAACAATTATCCCATGTTGTTATTGGGTTCACATCCCACCCCATCTCACGATTTTTGGACAATTTTGGGGTTTTGTAGGTCTCCCTAGAGTGGATATATATATATATATATATATATATATATATATATATATATATATATAAAGATATTAAAACAAAAACCTGTTAGAATCGGCTTTCCTTATTTCATTCTCCAATTCACATGTTCCAACGCATAATGCAATGCGTCTCCTCATATGCGATTATAAATTACTATGAGTGAACGACAGAATTTCATCACTGTCGTGTCCGTATTGTTATAATATCCTTTGAAACAAATAATATTGCTTTTATTATATATTTAATTTCTTTTTAAATGAAATATTACCAAACGTTGGAAGATACGAAAAATTTTTACATAAAATATCCGTTCTCATCGTAAATATATATATATATATATATATATATATATATATATATATATATATATATATATTTAACTTTCGGAAAAAGGTAACGATTTGTTTTTAAATTTACCTAAAAAATCTGCCGAAAAAATCATTTTATAAGCAGTTACCAACCATCGCCCGAGGAAGTACAATCACAGTATTGAAACATGGAAGCTTTTGTGTAGAGATTTAAAAATGTTTTTATTATAACCTCTTATAATATATATGTGTGTGTGTGTGTGAAATGCGTATATATATAAATATATATATATATATATATATATATATATATATAGTTTGTCTGATGATCACAAAAGCGTGAAACCCCGGGTCATAAACTTACATCAATCCAACTATATATATATATATATATATATATATATATATATATATATATATATTATCAAACATGTTTTGTTAAATATAACAGACAAGAAAAATTTTAATGAATTCTTTATTCTTGTCTTAAAAATATTCTCTGCTCTATTTAGGAAGTTTTCATCACTGCTATTTTATATCTTTCGGGGCATTGGCTATCATAATTTAGAAGACAAGAATTCCTATTGCTGTTTTTTTTTTCTATAAGGTTAGGTGTTAAATACTTTTGATTTTAGTTAAATATCAAAGAACGGGATTTTGCTATTAACCATGAGTTCGGATGTAAGCATTTTTTCGAAAGTTGATTTCAGATTTATAATTTCGTCCTTATTTTTTTTATCAAAATCAAACTTATGTCAACATAGCTTGTGTAGATTGATTTGAATTAAATCCTATATATATATATATATATATATATATATATATATATATATATATATATGGAGGCCTCACACTTATACACTCACCCACACGAATATACACACTTACACACATAATACTCACTCACTCCCTAATGAGCCAAATGATAACACACACCTACAGCAATACACACGCTTACACATATGATATTCGCTCACTCCCTAAGAACCAAATAACACACACACAAACACTAAACAGAGACACATCCCCTCACCAGGTCCAATAAAACTGTCAAACTGACCAGAGAATTGAGAGTAACATGTATCTATCCAGCTCTTATCTCAAATAACAACTTAAAAGAGACTGTTTGACCAACACAAGGAATGTTAAATGATTCATGTTAAAAAGATAAAAAATAAAATAAGAAAACAAATGAAAACTACAGACAAAAGTTCATTTTCTCCAGGAAAAGACATTCATTTCTGTAGTTTAGTGCTACCAGCAAGCAGAAATATTTCTCCTCCCGATGATGGCCATTTCGGTCGAAACTAGTCGAGGAATCTAAATGGAATAATAATAAAAAAACGAAAGAATATTAATCTACAACCCAGTGTGTCTGAAGATTTTAATTTTTATTTTCTTATTGTTCAATATATATATATATATATATATATATATATATATATATATATATATATATAATCCCAGCCAAATTACTGCCAAAATACTTGGCGAGCATAGTTGTAGAGTTACCATGTTTTATTTTTGGACCATTTAGAAAATAACAATAATAACTCCTTTCACCACTTCCGAAAATTCGAGAAAAATATTATTTCTTAACTAATGAAAACCTTGTATTCAAAAAGTTCACACCTCTATGTGAAATTAGATTTTGAATTTACTTTCGGATATAAAAATAGAAGCGTACCGCTTGTCGAGG